GTGGTAAAAGAGGCAAATAAGCATAAAGGATTAGAATATTTGAGATTGGCTGCTATACAAGGACATGAAAGAGCAATTGAAAAATTACAAGATGAAAATATTGACCTTTATTGGGGTGAAAAATGAATGTTGTAGCTAATTTTTTTAGAAATATTTATTTGTTTATTTATTTTATTTATTTATTTATATTGTATTTATGAATTTTGTTTTATAATGTAATTTTTTTATTAAAGTATCTCATTTTTGTAAATTAGATAATTTTTTTGCTTATTTATCACATTGATAGCATTTAAAATGTCTTATTATTTTTTGTAAATTTCGATACAAATTTAAATAGTAATAAATCAACGGTTAATTATAATACCTGCCTTCATGGCGCAACCGGCTAGCGCGTTCGGCTGTTAACCGAAAGGATCCTGGTTCGAATCCAGGTGAGGGCGGTGTAATAATTTTTTTCAATTGGAAAATAAAATAAAAAGATTATGATTTTTATTTTTATAATACTTGATAGTTAAAGTAATTGATTGAATCATCAACAGAGCTGAGAATTGTGTTAGTTTTAACTTCCATCTGATTCCTATTTTGATTCCATAAATAAATTCTATTCTTATTTATATCTTTTTGATGACATGTTAATTAATAGGAATATGATATTACTTTACTTTCCATATATTTCTTATAACAAATTCATCTGATGTAATAGATACCTTTTTAGATAAATTAATATGTATATACTGTATTGTATATACAAATTTTATATTTTTCTAGTCCAGGAAGAACATTATCAAATAATTTATTATTTCATGTATTTTCATTTCATTGTTTTCAGAAAATCAATAAGAAAATAATATTATATGTCAATTATTATTGTTAGCTGCAATAACTCCTAACTGCAAATAATGCATCTATTTTATTAGATATAGCATTAATTATTTGACCTTTTCCGGCAAATTATGTGGGCCAGATTGTCAAAGTTTTGAAATTCTTTAAGCACAATTATTGATCAACAACTCCTTTACTGGGGGTGTTTGGTTTGGTTTGGAATAATATCAACATTATTTCATTGATTTCTTGTTCTGCTGAACAGACAATTCATTTCACAACCTCTTGTCAAAAATCCATATCCCATTTTATTTTTTTCCAGATTTTTTAAATATTTTTCAACATTTTATTAGAAAAAAATTATTAAAGGTTCAAGTTTTCATCTTCCAATTTAATTATTATGTCAGTTGTATTTTGAATGGTACCAGAATATTTTTTACTGCTTTATGGCTTTTCCTTTGGTAACTTTATATCTTCATATATTATATGTATTATCACTATGGAATCAAACAGCTTTCAATGATGAGCACAAATATATATTGGTAATAACCTCAAAGATTTTGATATTGGTACTACTGTTGTATGTGAAAATTAAATTGAAATCTATAATTAAAATTTTGGGGTGGGGTGTTTGGATATGAAAATTCCGATTGGCTAATTTTGAATTTCACATTAAATATGTGAAATTCAAATTCATTTTCACGCAACAACACTACCAAGAATTTCAGTCAGAGTTTTTTGTACAATATACATGGGATGTTAATTAAATTGAGAATCAGTCGGTATTTAAAGAATGTCTTTTCAGTGCTCTTGGATATAGCAATAAAATAATAACTTAATACAAAAACAATATAATAATACATAGCCATTTACTATAAACCGATCACTTATAGAGATATACTATCTTTCAACGTGGGACTGTCAATAATTTATTTAGCTTTCTTTAAATAAATTATCATGATATAAATCAACGCTGTACCTATTAAATTTATATTATATATTAATATCGTGGAATTTGTTCACATTTTACAATTTATCTTAGCTTATATCAGTCAGAAAATATAAAATTAATTAATTCGCATTTTGTCTCCTCACAATACTTTTTTATATAAAAACAATTTGCAGAAAGTTGAAAAACTTGCTTGTATAATTAATTCATTAATACAACAAACTATCAACCATAAAATAATATATAGAAACAAATCATTAAAAAAAATTTTGGCATATAATTTATTTACCAAATCCATAAAAAAGTTTTCCTCGTCTTTGAGTGCATGAACTGTTATGGAGTATAGTAATAAATAGTTAATACAACGAAAGAAGTTTCATTCATATATTAATTTAAAGGAATATACAATATATATTACATACCATAATAATATACTGTGAACTAACTTACCAACATCACATATACTTTACTGTCTTACGTTTTGCAGGCTCTGGAAGAATTACCTATATAACGCAAAGATCTTGATGATGAAGTGTAATTTTTCATGGATTCATTAAGGATATCAATATATTTTACAGAATTTTCGTCTAATTCTCTATCTATTCCTCCTTCAAACCAACTTTCTTCAGACTCTTCATGTGAAAACTGTCCTAAATTAGTTTCCAATTGATTTTCATTACCAAATGAGCTATTATTTTTTTTGTCTAAAGCAAGTTTATTTAAATGTGCTTTTTGCTTTTTAAGTTTAGGCATGATTAATTGATAAATTTCAAAAAAGATTTAAATTTTTTTGAAGCAAAAAAAAAAACGCGTTAAAAAATTGAATTGATATTTTGTCACGTGACAAGTGTACATGGAATCCAAGTTAATTCCAGCCAAATATAGCAATTTTGGTAAGATTTATGGTGGACAAATTGAGACCAAACATAGAATAATGATGATTTTTAAAAGCTCATAGCTCCATACAGAATGGGATTTTAAAAAAAAACTCTTCATTTTTTGTTAATTCAAGCTTCAAACTAACTGATTATGAAAAGCTTTTTGATTTATTTTATTTGTTGATAGACTAGATAGAATTAAAAAATTTCATGTAAAAGTTGCCAGGACTAGGACTAGATGCACCATACTCTTGGGATTTATTTCACCATCTTCAGCCATCTTTATTAATTCAGAATACATATCTTGAGCAGTATAATGATCACTTTTATCAACGTTACCTGCATGAAAAAATCCTTGTAAAATGGTAATTATTTTTTTGGGAAATTTTGCTCCACCTTTATTTATTCCTGAATTTTTGATTTCTTTTAATGCCCATCCTTTTTTCAAAAATTCATCAGAAATGCTATTTAAAATTATATTAATAAATGGTTTGTTAATTTATCATTATAGATAATAGTAATTAATAGATATTAAAAGACTCACAATATTTGATTTGGTTGGACTGTTATGTTGCTTGGTTTGGATTTATTAATTTCATTGCCTGATAAACAATTTTATTTTTCAAGTAAGTTTGTAAAATTAAATTTGTATATTTAAAATAATAGAAAATTTCTAGACAATTAATTACCCATATTTTTAGGAATTGATGAAGTCCAAGGTAAATTTGGTGTGGTTGGGATAGAAACTTGTGGTTGAGGTTTAGTAACTTTTGCTTTTATAGTTTTTGAATCTGTGCTGGGGAGAAATTTTTCCATCCACCTATATTAGGCAAGGATCTAATATAACCAGCATATTGACCTTCTGTTGGCCATTGCCATTCAAACCAATTGGATATACCTGGTATTGTTTTAATTTTTCCTTTATTTTTTTCCCTATTTGGTGTCAGATTTGCTACTGAAGTGCCTAGTAAACCATTACCTTCTGTAACATTACATCCTAATCTAACATATCTTTTAATTAAATGTGCAATCTATAAAAAGCAAAAATAAATAATTAAAAAAATATTATTAAATAACTTATAATAAATTTAATTTACCTGAGCATGATGAGAGTCAATTGTAGTTTTAGCTTCACCAGGTTCAAGAAAAATCCATTTATGAATTGTAATATCATACCAATCCTTCTTCCAATATGACAAAATTATCATTAATTCTGAATTGTGATAATGAGGTCATTATCAGAAATAATTAGAGGTTGTACCCACTGAATATTCATTCATTCAATCAATTAAATTTAATATTCGGATAATCATTTGGTGAATAATTAAGATATTCAGATATTCATTTGATCATTAAATCGATTATTCAGTGAATATTCACTGAATATTCAATATTCATTGTTAATAAATTTATTTAATCATTTACATTCTATCAAAATAATCAATATTTTTTTTAAAAAAAACAATCTTTTCAAATAAAAGTGGATTAAGCTTTGTTCTTTTTGAGGTCATTGTATTTCCAGCTTGACTAAATAATCTCTCACTTGGAGTGGATGTTGCAGGCACACACAAGTATTTAGTAGCCAACTCTGACAAAACAGGAAATCTATTTTTATTATGTTTCCACCACAAGAATAGATCATCTTTCCAATTTATTTCTTCTAATAATAGATATTCATCAACCTAAAATTTGAATTAATAGCATTAATACTGATGATTAATTTTCAAAATTTATAATCATACTTACTTCACCCAATGCAGATTTTCCTTGACTATCAAAAGTAGATTCCAATAATGTTGGTTTATATATTTTAAAAGTGTAAATGTTTGTTCTTGTATAGTTTGAGATGAAAATTTGATTTTTTTTGTTCTTGGGTCAAGGACACAAACTAACAATTCTTCTGCTGTTGGAGGTTTCCAATAATAATTTAAATATTTATATAACAATGATTTTATTGCACCAGTTAAACCAAACATATCTTGTGGTTGATTTATTTTCATTTTCCTTTTACCAATTTTACCAACATCATCATTTTCCTCATCTTCTTCTTCATACTCAACATCAACATCATCAAAAACATCATCAGTTGACTCAAAATCCACCTTGTAATCATAAACATTATTTGTTGTGTTTTTGCATTCTTTCTTCAATGTATTTATCAAAGGATACACAAGGCTAATGGTAACATAATCACTGGCACCCAAAATCTGAGTAAATTCATAAAATGGGCCCAATACACCTATCATCTCTAACATGAAATCCCATTCTTCTTCTTGCAACATAATTTTTTTTAATCGATTGTAATCTTTTTTTGATTGAGAATCTTTTTTATTTCTTAATATAGTATTTAAAGCTGTATAAATTGCATCTTTCAAATTATAAATCCTTTCCCAAGCCAGATAAGAAGAGTTCCAACAAGTTGGAACATCTCCAATTGCACTTAATAGTTGTTGTTGTTTTGGATAGTCTGAGCATTAATATCAACATCATCAATATCACAATCACTGTCACAGTTGTTTAATTTTTGAGCCTTTAATAATAATTCATTCTGTTTTGGTGACATGAAAAAATTTATTAACCTTTTAGATCTTGCCAAAAAAACTTGACAAGGAATTAAAGATTTGCCAATCACAAGTTGTATAGTATGAGCTGAGCAACCATATCTTGCAATATTTGGCAAAAACTGTAAATGAAATTGTATTAATCAATGTTCATTCTATAATAAACTTGTAATAAAAATTTGCATTAAATCTCATTTCTTTACATAAGGTACAAAGATCAGTTCGTGGTGAGAGGAATTGAATTTCAGGAAGATAACTCTTCCAAATTCTTACAAAGCTTGAATAACTAATATGATGTTCTGATCCAGTTCCAATATCATTTAAAAATTTTTCATGTATTTCTGTGTAGTTATCCCTTGTAGCATAATGGACACTCATTTTATCACTTTGTGACAAAATCGACTGTTGATCTTTTTTATGTTGTGAAACATGTGATTTCAATTGTTTTAAAATAGAAAAAGGAGTACGCGTATACAAAAAATTATCATTAAGGTAGATATTACTTTTTTTGCACAGAAACATTCTTTATATTTGTCTTTACTAGTGGGTTAAATAAGATCAAAAGATCATCTCTAGATCAAAAGTTAGATGAGAACTAAATTTTGAAATAAAGACTACACATATGCAAACGTTTTATTTGAATTAAAATAATTTTAGTCTTATTTTCAGAAACATATTTTCAGTAAATGCAAGGAAATATTTTGCCTTCAAGTTTTCCAATTAAAGTAGGTAGTCAAACAAATTTATTAACTTGGTGATATTATTTTATTATTTTTAATTTTTTTAAATGGGTTTTGAAAGCAAGAAAACTTAATTAATTGAAACATCATTTTAATATTTAGGCGAACATATTCTTTTCCATGTTAACTTGCATATTCAATGGTTGATTTGTCGAGATAATGGTTATTGGGTATTGTTTATTATCATTTTATCATTTTATCATTTTATCATTTTATCATTTTATTACTTTAATTTTTAGATAAATTTTCAAAAACAAACATTAAAGAGAAAACTAAATTAATTGAAACATCATTTTAATATTTAGGCGAACATATTCTTTTCCATGTTAACTTGCATATTCAATGGCTGATTTGTCAAGATAATGGTTATTCAGTCTACAGTTAAATGATTAATTATTGTTATGTGATCATCAAAAAAATCAACATCAATATCAACTAATGGGTAATAATACTATCACAAATAATAATTATATTGTACCTTGTACCTTTTCACACGAAGAAAAATATGTATTGATCATGAATGTCGTCATGAAAATAAATTCTAAGTGGGTTGAAAATATCCAAATTATTCGGGATTTTTTTATTTTTTAGAAATGTGATAAAAAATTTCAAACCAATCAAAAAATTAGTTTTGTGTGATGATTTGAAATAAGATCGACAAAATTTGGCCAATGAAATAGCTTATTTTACAGTGTCCATTATGCTCATTATGCTCATCAAAGTACTAAAAATACTGTGCTTCCGATACTTCCCGAAACGACGGGCTTTCGATGTGCGTCTTTTATAGCAATAGTATTTTTTTGCAGTTTATCAATATAAGGTCAACTAACCTTTAATCAAATACTGCCAGGTCCTTCCTAGCTCCCGACCTCCACAGCTTATTTGGGACAGTAGCATGGTCTTGCATAAAAAATTGATATAATTTCTAATGCGAATTTTACCGACCAAGATTTCTCTTTCGCCTCCAGGAATGAAAATTTTTTGGGATTAAAAAGTGTCTTTATTTCATTTTGAAAGTTTACAAAGCAAAAACGTTATTTTGTCATATGGTATGGTTGGCGATGATCTTCGGCGTTAAGCAGAAAGCTGCAAAAACCGCCAGAAGTAAGCTGAATAATATCTAAAATTGGTTAAATTGTAAATCACATGATTAGGCTAAAAAACTTGAATTTGTGCGTTTTTTATTTCAGTTTTATTATACTGTTATTTATCAATATTATCACATATTTCGTTTTTAGATGTATTTCATTAAATTTGTTCATAAATGGCAATGTCAGTTGGATTTATGGGTTTCTATTTGAATAAAATGAATAAAACAAATATTCTAATAATTGTGTTTTTCCCTTGTAGTGATAATAAAAATAGTGGTGAATGTATTTATTTTTATTTTTATTTTTATTATTAACTGTTTTTAATTAATCCTTGGCTATTTTGATTAATTGATTTAAGATTCAAGTAGAATTTCAAATAAAATATGCAAAACTTGAACAGAAATAATGATTTAAAACGCCGCAGATTTTGATTTTTTTTTTGTCGCAGAAATTCTTCGTCCCTGCATTTTAGTGAAAGTCAGGGACAATGATTTCTACGGTGACAAAATGCTAATTACGTTCGTGCTTAAAAACAAATTCTGCATGCACTATTCTGTATAATTTCCGTTATAATATCTATTTCTATACTAATACATTCTGCGGTAATTGTGTATTATTTTAAGAAATAATGTTACAAAATAGATATTAATATCATATTAACAATAAAACGTATACATTAATATATTAAAAACATCTGTTGGAGGAATTTAACTTTTAAAGGGTGAATTGTTTCAAATTGTAATTTATTTGTTTCCAGTAGTCGGCAAAAACAGCGCCATGTTCTTCATCAGCTTCATTTATGATTATGCTTTTGTCTGTCTATTTTTTAATTTTTTAATGGTGGTGGTTGTTCATTTGAAGAAAAAAATATATATTTTATATAGGGAAATGATTGATACATCTAAACACCAACATTTGAAAGATTGTGTATATTAATTTGTCTTGATTTTTTTAAAAAAATGAATGCATTATCATTACATGTGTCCACTTTCTATTCATGCGACTAATTTGAGTAATTTAAACAATATAAACAGTCGGTGCAATATCTATGTGGTAAAGAATGTTTACCATGCTGTCCGTTGCAACACGATTTAAATATAATAACAACAACAACAACAACAATAATAATAAAACCCGTTGAAACAAGTATTAATATTAATAGAAACAAGGGGTCAAAACAAAAGTTCGTTGAAACGAAGCCCGTTGAAACAAAAATCCATCGAAACGAAATCCATTGAAACAAAAATCCATTAAAACGAAGCCTGTTGAAACAAGGATTCGATTGTATAATGGTACTCAAAAGTTTGCATTTGAAATTTTATCAAAAACTGGACACAATTTTTTAAAAAATGTAGGTCTCTACTAGACAAAAAATTACTAACTGACTGCGATTTTTGACTTTTAATACATTTATTTATTTAAATTTCGTGTAACAAAAATAAATAAACAAACAAACAAGCAAACACTCATAATTAATAAATAAAATATGGAATTACACAGAAAAAGAGTTTCTTTTCATTACCACATCCATATTTACGATACTGGTTTAATATGGAAGTGTCTTTTCCACATGTATCCTATATTAATATTAATACATTCCATATTTTATAATGTCTATTTCCCAAACATCAAAACACCAAAAACATCAATATAAATAAGTTCACAGCAATTAATTAACAATAATGATTTTAAAAAATCCTTTAATTAGTATTGCATATACAATTTTGGAATTTCTTTATTATAAAATTCCAATATCATTTATAATTGCCAAATCTGGGGTGATTGCTGATTTGGTATACAGTGCCGAATATAATATTATTACTATAAATACTTGACTCAATCAGGTGACTTTTGACGCAATTGAGTCAAAGCCAAATAACATGCATAATTCGAATATAAACTTGGATACAAATTTATAATTTCACGAGTGTGGATTTAAAATTCAAATAATTAAATTTATAAATAGTAATTCGTAGATATTTTTCGATATTTATTTTGAATCAAAAATAATAACAATGGATTTTTCCGCAAATATACACCAATAAATTATAACAAAACCCAGTAATTGATTTATATTGTATAACATTACTAACTGCATAAAATTAATAAAAGACATTCCGATCAATGTGGTTACGATGATTTCACCCTTCCTTCTAGGATAATTATTTTGTTTGCAAATTGTACAATTACCCATAATACATGCATAACATTTGTTCCAGATTATAAAATGGCAAGTTCTAGGAAACCAATAATCAATAATAATAATATGATATAAAAGAGATCAATTCTTTTCTCTTTTCTTCACCAAAATCAAATATTTTTTCAAACAATTTAATAATAAACACATTCTTAATTATTTAATAATAATGGTAAAAAATAATCTTGGTATCAGTAGTAGTAGCAACATTAATAACAGCACCGTCGCCATCACCAACAATATCAATAAAAATAAAAAAACCAGAGGTCGATACGTTTCAAGAGCATGTGATAACTGTAAAAAGTCACATAGAAAATGTTCAGAAGGAAATGGCAGCTGTGAAAATTGCTTGCGTAAAAACCGGAAATGTTCTAAAGATATTTTTATTGTTCAGTCATATAACGGTAATGGCAATAATAATAACGACGACGATGCCGATAAAGGTAAAATTTTAAATTGATATTTTTTTTAAAAAAATATAACTACGAAATTTATTTTTCTCCGCTTCAATGAAAAAATAGACGAAAATATAATTCAACGGCTTATTTCAACCAAGTTTATTCCGGTTCGCCAATTTTATGCTATCGGCAGTTATTATCAAAGATATCATCAAATTATGAATAATGACGATTACTTTGACAATAACTATTATGATGACGCTAATGACATTACCGCCGCTATTACTGCTACCAGCATTACTAATAGCTATAACAATATAAATATTAGTAATATTTATTTTTAACTAATTAATACAAGCTTTTTTTAATTCATTCATTATATTTATAATTTATTGTCAAATTTGGATAATAAGGAAGGATGTTACACACATGTTAGATTATGCTTTTTTTTTCAAATATGCTTTTATGCGCTTATAATTCTTGGGCAAATTAAATTATAAATTATAATCTTAATCAATATAGATAATAGTCTTCTAATAATAATAATAAGTAAAATATTAATCTTTAATACAATTATTAATTAAATATTAAATAGCCTTTTCTAAATATGAAAAATGTAATATTGATATTGAGGATCTAAACATACAAAATAGATTCGTTATTTAAATTAACCTGGAAAAATATTCCATTAATACAAAAAATGTATGTAATTCACCTTAAATGTTTGTTTTCTCCACCTTTCAAATTCCATAAAAGGTGATCTTGACAAGGTTTGTAAAGATTTAACTAAAGAACCACTCACCAAAACCTCAAGGCAAGCAAAAATCGCAAATCTCGATTCCTGTTTTAAATTTTAAAAGTACTACTTTTTTCTATATTGTATAAAAAAAGTGGTTCTTTGTTTTTTATTAACATAAACCAATAGGGTATTTATCATACAGTGCATTGTACTAATCTACTAACAGAGTTGAATAACATTCTTCCAGCAAAATCACATCCTAGGTCTTTTGACCAAATTTGTGCCTTTTACATAATACTGTCCTATAACATGACATGTAGATTATAATTGTATTAGACCCTGTCTGCTTAAGAAAAAATGTGGAATCGTAAATCTAAAAATATAAAATTGATACATTAAAATAAATATCTTTTCTATCATCTGATCAATTAATTTCCTTTTTTCTCGTGTAACAAATTTGTACGTAATAATGATTACTTAATCATATAATTGTTACGCCCATCGCTAATCTTGTATTTTGAATTAAGGTGTGATTTTTGGTGATCGTCCCATTTCGCATCATACTTGTTGTTTTTTTTGCGACAACAAATTCATATACAAACTCATCCATACTAAAAATCTACACTAGAGTTTTTCAACGTTTTCATTCATGAAATCAACAATAGTGTGAGGAGTATTAATTAACAGATTTAGCTTCAATACTAAAGTCCGCGCGTCCAAACATACTTTGCTTGAAATTCTAACATCTTTGCCCTTGACAAGTAGCCTTCGGAATCTTTAAATTCATGACTCCCGTGTAAAATAAATATCCAAGCAAGAAAAATCGGAGAGAGATTTAATGCCAAGATTAGCGTTTTTTGCACTTGACATTTTCATCAATAATACAGAAACAAACTTACGATCAGAGGTGAATAAAAAAAGGGAATTGCAGTTAATTCAATCTCAATTAAATCTCGAATGAAACACTTGCCTGAAAATGCGTTTCTTCCAATTGTTCTGAAGCAACTAAAAAAATTCTAAGCCTCTGACAGGTAGCTCCGTGGATTTTCCATAAAGTGACTCAATACCAGGTTCATCTGTTAACCCATTTTGAACCACATTGCCAAATATTGAAGGTGATTATGAACATCTTCACATGTCATCCACCAAGTTAATGGCGAATCATTTTTCTCATTATATGATGCATCAAATGGATAATTGCCAATTTTGTAATGTCTAAGTTGAGATATCAACTCATCACATGATGTCTTGGATTTTCCCATATTTTGATATAATCTTGCTGCAGTTTCTGCAATTCTTCTAAAATTACCACTTCTTATACCTTTACCTAATCAAATATTAAATCAATCATTATAATAATAATTTATTTTTTTATAATTCACTATATTAATTTTCAATTGATTAATTACCTTTATATGTTGGATGTAGGAAAAAACACAACAAAAATTCATCATACTCAAAATCTTGCCATCTTTTATTATACTTGTAAATACAATAGTCTTGGAATGATTTGTTATATTCTTTTGGAATTGAATTTATAGCTACTGCCAACTTAACTAAGTTGAAATAGCAATCAGCTAAATTACAACCATCTGATTCTAATTCTACAATTGAATTTTTTATTTGTTTTAATAAATGAGACAAATCTTCTAAATTGTCAAAAAAAGTTCCTCGTTTAAGAATATTCTTCACTTCATTTGTAACCAAATCATCATTTTCTCTCAAATATTAAAAATAAAGTAAATAAAATAAATAAATAAAAAATTGTAAAAATAACTTACTAAATCAAAGCATGGTTTGAGTCTTATGATAGATGCCACTGTATCATAAACTGATGTCCAACATGTCTCACAATATTTCTTCAAACCACCACCAATAATGTTATTTTTATTGATGGTTTCTTGCAATATATTGGTTGCTCAATGAGACCTTTTAAAAAATCTGACAACAATTTTGCATTTAGAAATTAGGCTTTTTGCAAAATTATGTTGGATAATATCTTTGGTCACCAAATTGATACAATGGGCTATACAACGTAAGTCGATAATGTGTTTAAATTTATCAGTAATGATTTTCCTGGCACCACTCACATTGGAGGCACCATCTGATACTAATGCAGAAAACCTAAATGTGCCAACTTTATTCATAATTTCTTCAATTTGGGTTGCAATATATTGTGCAGTATGGCTTTCAGATGATAGATCACGTAATTCATACAAATATTGCTTATGATCAGGTGTATATATTACAAAACTCCAAATTGACAAATTCTGAGGACTAGACCAGCCATCAATTGCTATTCTAATTATTGAATTTAAAAGCAAGTAAAATAAATTAATAATAATGATAATAATAATGACAATAATGATAGTCACCTAAAGTCAGGTTTTTGTTATTTTCTAATATTGAATTTAATTTATTATTGACATTGGATATTTCAGTATCAAGAAACTTTCCAGATAAAACACTCTTAGATGGTGGTTGATATGCAGGACGGAGTTGTTGAAGAAGATCTATAAAGTATGGATTACTGACAACTGAAAAAGAAATTCCACAGCAAACAAATGCTTTTATTAATGCCCGGTTAATTGAATCATTGCGCTCTTTTGTCAACAAGGTGCTTTCATAAAAATTTGAAATTGGTTGTTGAGTTGATGATGATTCTAAAGTTTCATTATTATTATCATTGTTTATTTGTCTTAAACATTCTCTTCTAATTTCATGAGTACAACCAGGGCAATGGTTTGCCAAATGTGATAAAAGTTTTTGTGGTTGTCCACAATTAAACTTTTTTGTACAATACTTGCATTGTGCAGAGTAATGTCCTTTGGATTTTTCTTCACGTTTTTTAACAAAATGGATCCACACATTTGAGGGAGGTCTACCATTTTGTGGATCTGACATTTTTTAAAACCAATTCTTCTTTCCTTAAGCAATATTATCTCACAGACTTATTATTGGATGTAAAAAGGAAGTGGAAGTTGCTAGCACAATGATTGTAATTTGAATGGTTTATGGTTGATATTATAATAGTTTATTATTATATTATTATTGCGTTGCTTTTATAGATTCAATTCAAAAAATAAAAAAAAAAATTTATTTTATGTAATTAAGGGGTATCTTTTATATATATATATATAAAACAAAAAAAAATTTCAATTTTTACTTGTCAACAATTTTTACTTTTGTCAACACTTTTTACTTTTGTCAAAACTTTTTACTCTTGTCAAAACTTTTTACTTTTGTCAAAACTTTTTACTTTTGTCAACACTTTTTACTTTTGTCAACACTTTTTACTTTTGTCAACACTTTTTACTTTTGTCAAATCGTCAAAATGGCCCTTGGTGAGAAACCACCTTTAGTCAGTACTTTCGTCACGTCAATGACTAAAGTCAAAAGTTTTGTCATACATCATTAAGTGAGTCTGGTCTCATCTCCAATATCTAAAAACTTTAACGAATTCCCTGGTTCATGAACATGCTAATTTATCTGTAAACAAGGGCATATTCAACTTGATTACCAGGATCATTTTCCCAGAGTAAAATTTTGGCTTGAACCCACTTGCTCCAGTTATGATCATCCCCAATAGACACCTCAAACACCCTAGCTGCACAAACTTGTTCCGCAGGTGCTCCATAACCCCCAGCTCTTCTTAGGTTTGTACTACATCCCTGCCTCCCAAGTATTCTTTAAACATGAAATGGCAAGATGGATTCTGGAGCCCCTGTATCGACCATGCATGTATATTTTTTGTTGTTATTCATGGTATCATAAAAATCATACGAAAAAATAACAATCAAATTATTTTCATTGGGTCTTCTGATGCGAATCCTGACCTTTATTTAGGGATCAAATTAATTTGAAAAATTATACAAATTCTAAAAACTAAATCTTATAAAAGATAACGCTTCTCATTAAGTACGCATTCAAACCTTGTAATCATCTCCACTATTAGCGCGCTGAGAAATCACCATCTTCGCCGGCTTACTACGTAGTGGCAGATGTGTCTGATCAACCAGATGTTGGATGGCACCAGGCATAGTTTCGAGAACGTAGTCCAATTGATCATTGCTATACTCCTTTCCATATTCTACTACCTTCTGGTTGTATACCGTCACCCACTCGTTTTCATGTCCCGTAAATTCACCTCTATCGAGTGCATTGTAGAAAAATATGAAATTAAACCCAACTTCGTCATCAAATTCGAACTCAACGTCAGCAATTATTCTGAAGGAATGTCTTCTGAGATATTCTGGCATGGAGGAGGGCCATCTGAAATCCTTTCCCATGCGAGCTATGATAGGTTAAATAAAACAAACATCAAAACTTTACTACATGTATTGCCACTATGCTTTCACGTATATAAAGAAAATTTTGAACTGTACCGAGAAACCTTTGTGCCTGACCAGGCTTGTGCTCATATTTGAGGAGACTTTGAAGCGTTTCGGGTGGATTTTGTTCCTTCATTATTTTAAATAAAATGAAAAGTCTAACGAGGCATTACTCAATATTAATATATATATATATGGTTTTCACAAAAATATGTGTTCATTCCATTCATTAAAGAATATACCCAGCGAACAGAATCAACATAGAAGTCGCGCCAATTATGCCAATTATGAAAAGGAATGCAACGAATGTAAATAGAAATATAAGAGGAAAAAAGAAAATACAACACATTATTTTTTAAGTGGTAAAAGAGAGAGAGTTGGGTTGATTACTCTTAAATTTTTTTTTTTTAAAATAAATACGTAATCATGCGTTATTCAGTTATTATTTAAATCAAACTCGTGACATCTTGTGTAGCCTTATTATGAAGATGACACTTACGCTGGATAAATTCCAGATCCGAAAAAGTTTAATGACAGCTATACTGGATTACATTTGTTTATTTAATGGCTCAGGACATATGATGAGCTGTTAATATTGCTAGACGATATACAAAAAAATGACGCATATCAATTCTTAACCGCGTATTTTCTGGTCCTTCCCAAATAATAATGTACTTTTACGTTAAAAATCATCTGTGTTTAAATTCAGATCTGTTCAGATATGATATTAGAGTTCGGATACAAACTCTATAAAAATAAAAAAAGAATATATTTGCAAATGTTTCTTCTGTATGTATCTATCCTCTTCCACAAAAGAAGTACATTTTAAACTTAAAAGGCTCTTTGTGTTTTTTGACTTCGAATTTATTTAAATATGTGTAATGCAGAGAATGCTATCCGATGATCTTTTTTAAAAGACAGTTTAAAAAAATTTATATAAAAAGAAAGCCGAAGATTGTTTTTAAAAGTATGAAAGATCAATATATGAACGAGTTTCGTAATTTCATAAGGGTGACATCTACTACTACATGATGGCGAAACAGTTTTGTTTTGGTAATCAGGTTCGAATCAAACCTAAAATTTCCGAAATTCAAAACAGAAACTTGATCCGAATAAACATGGATTTTCTAGAAGTTTATTTAAAAAATAATACGCTTTTTTTCTCTTTACCTTTATTGAGATACTTTTGAACAAGACATAGAAAGATTATTTGATAATTTAAAAGTTTCGATACAAAATTTGTGGTCTTCCGGGCAGGTAAATAAAAATTTTGAGTTGTAGAATTATTTGTATTTTCAGAAGCTATTAATTTATTTATAAATGGTGAATTTCAAGTTAAAATTATGCCCTGTTTTAAAATTACATCCCTGTTTAAGCCCGATTCAATCCCTATTTTAAAGAAAAAAAATAATAAATTTCAAATATATATATATAAAATGGATGCAATAGATGCAAATGAATACTTGATACAATTTTTGGGAAGTAAGTATTAGTCAAATATTATTAAGTTAGTTGATGATTATATTAATAAAAAAAAGATTTTTCTCATTTATATATGGGATTTTTGTTAAAAATGAAAAATAAAATTGTAAAGGCATTGATAATCTTCCATCTGAAATACGTCATCATTTTAGTGAAATATCAAATAGAGAACAAGAAATTGATGGTATGATTCAAAATTAATTAATCGATACATTACACATATATCAGTATGGTATGATTGATTAAAAATTTTTTTACAATAAATAAATAAAAGATTTATTGAAAGGGATTGAACGTCGTAAAAAAAGATTATGGTGTTTATATGACGGAGGATCATTTGATAGTGATTGTTCTGTAGTTGAAAGTATATATGAAAATCAATATGGCGATGAAGAAGATAAAAGTAGTGAAGAAGAAGAAGAAGATTTTTATGGCGAAGATGAAGATGACAACAAAATCGCAGAAATAAATTCAAAAAAGAAAAAACATCAAGTTGTTAAAGTTATAACAGAGTTTGAAGACGAAGAAATGTTAAAAGAAAAGGTTATGAATGATTACATAAGAGTATCACAATTGCAAGATGAAAAAATTGAAATTACAGATAAAGCTTTGGCATTAGTATGTGTAAGATTTGTCTATCCTTTTATTCTTTCTTGGTTAAATGATAATAGCGTTGTGTTATTTATAGGTTGAAAGATATATTAAACATTTTGATGAAGATCTTGATAGCTTATTTCCTCAACATAATCTTCGTGATTGTTTATCAAATTTTGAATCAACATTTGAATCATTAAACACATCTCCTCAAAATGTAAATATAATATCATTGTCATCTCAAGTAGATAACAAAACAATTGTTCAGCCATCAAATACAAGTATAAAATCAACAACATCAACAATTGCTTCTTTTCCTACAACATCATTTTTGTCATCATCAATATCTAGACACTCTAACATTAATACTTATGACTATAATAATGGAATATATTATCCTTCCATGAAATCAGAAGAAGGAGAATTTTGTATGTTCTTATTCTCTTCTTTTTCTTAATAATAATGTAATTACATAAACATAATTTGATAATGATTATTAGAAACTAATTGACGTTATGCTATAGCATTACCATTATTACCAAATCCCTCTAGCTCTACAGCACAAATTGGCAGAGGTAATAATAATTACATTACTATTATCTTAAATGATAACTGAATGAAAAAATTATTTGATTATTTCTTGTTAACCATATTGCCTAATAATCATGATAATATGAAAATTCGATAGGGTTAAATCGAAGGAATTTGTCTATGTCACCTAATCAACCATTACCACGACGTAGAAGGCAAATGTTTGTAATTTATAGAAAATTTTATTTAAAAAATTTATTATTATTAAATATATTATATATATTGATAATGTTTTTTGGGGGGTAAATAGCAATAATAACCAAGATACCATCTCAATCTATACAAATAACATTAACTCAATCACCACTTCTACAACTAATACAACTACTTCCATGAATTCCCCCATTACTGCTGCTTCTTCTTCTTCCACTTTCAACACCACTATTAATGATTATAACAATAATAACAGCTTTCCACAATTTATTAAAATACAATGTTCTGATGGTGATAAAAATCATTTTCATCATTTAAATTCAACAGGATCATCTTCAATGATTTCTCCTGATAGAAACATTAATCTTAATAGTCTCAACCCCAATTCCAATATTAATAATAGTAATATTTTTAATATCATCAATAACAATAATTTAAATTTACAAACATATGATTCTTCGTTTATTTCTGATGGCAACACATTTTCATCAAATTATATACAAACTGTTGACCCTAATGAACCTGTATATTGTATTTGTCGACAAGTTAGCTTTGGTGAAATGATTGGATGTGATGGTGAAGTATGTAAAAAAAATCAATATACCTTAAAATTTTATTATTACAGTTCACTTACTTTTATACCAATATTTATATTTTAGAATTGTCCTATTGAATGGTTTCATTTGGATTGTGTTGATCTTAAAGCAGTACCAGAAGGAAGATGGTATTGCGAACATTGTATGAGTACAATGAATCAAGTAAAAAAACGAAAAAGAGGTCGACCTATTGGATCATGAGTGCTTATTAATTGTAAACTTTTTAATATTTTTAAATTGATGTTTTGTATTTATTTTTATTTTTAATTCAAGTCTTTCATTTATATTTTTATATTTTTTAGGTAAATTCCTTCTGACTTATTCACAATCCTTATCCAATTAGTCCTGATCCATATATTTTTATAATCATCATTTATCACAATCATTGTCCTAAAATATTTATATATTAATATATGAATATGAATGAACATGAATAAAATTACATTGGTTCCATTTTGCTAACAAGTTAACACTTCAAACTTTTGCTTGCATGCCATACCGGACAAAAAATTATAATCAAACTAATTTATTATAATAATGTTCTGCTTATGTTTAATATAATAATAAAGATAACTATTTAACAAGTGGCAAATTAATCAATTATCAACTACTTTGTTAAATCTCTCTGATTAGAAGAGACTCCTTTCGATATTGAGTGTTGAAGCAATGCTTTCCAATATATATTGACTCGTGTTAATGATTCGTGTATGTGTATAGGTTTTTGAGAAGGGTGGTAAAGTGGAATGAGAAGTTGAGAGAAATCTTGATACATGAGCAATAGCAATGGTAGTTTCTGAATGAGGAGAATCTAGAGGCTTTATAGTGTAACTATATTTAAATGAAATGCATGATGGGTTGATACACTCAACAGCACCATGTATTTTGACACTAGTGATCTTGCCATTGATGATTGTGCAAGCCTAGTCTGTTGGAAACACCATACACAAGTTTGTGAAGATTGATATTCATTAGTCATTCCAACAGAGTAAGCAATATCTTCTATGCTACTCCTTCATCTTACTACCACCTCTACAATTATATGAGAATTAACACCCATACCAGTTATACCAATTAACACAATTGACAGGATAAATGAATGTGATTTTGGACATTCAAGGTATGAATATTGAAGAGAGCAAAAGGTGTGATGGTTTTACAAATCACATCAAGCTGTGATGTGCAGTTGATGATGACAATAGTGATTGTGATAATGATGTTGATGAGGATGCCGATAAGGATTGTTTATTTTGGACTTTTATTTTACATAATTCCTTTCTGCAGCATCAAGTTTTGTCCGTGTTCTCTTTGTACAAAGCTGTTGATTATGGTGATCTTCAATTGAGATTTGGAATATTCAAAAATTTTCAGATCTCAACCAAACTTTTGATGGATTTTATGAGCTGAATTAATTTCTGACATGGTCTAGGCTGTTTTAAGAATATGTTCCTTTTATGCAAGAATATGTATAATTTCCACTGCCTTCTTATTCTACGATTTTTAAGAAATTCTCAATGCTTCATTTGTTTAAAGCATGTGAAACTTCGTTGATGTAATTTAGAAGTTTTATTTTACCAAGATGAGGGGGAGGATGATCAACATCCGCGTGTTCGGTACTACTGCCATATTTAACTCCCAATGAGCATATCTCGCATTTTTTCAAAAATTATAAAATTTTTGTATTTAAGAAACTTTTGCTATAAAATTCATAAAGAGGAAGTTAACGGTAGTGATAGAATCCAAAGTGACAAAATGGATACTATTCACGGCAAGGCAAAACAAGCATGAAAGGTACGTTGATGCATGCTCCAGATTCATAATAAATTTGGATGGGGGTTGAAAAGTTGGTCCGGATTATTATAATTGAGGCAGCGGTAGTTTTGGTCATGTCCAAAATCAGGTAAAGCGATTTTTAAGTCATATGAAATTATGGGTAGAGCAAAAAATTTAAATAGAAAAATAAGCAAGGGTTAAATTGTAATCGATACAGAAAAGTTTCGTGTCCTTTTCCATTTTAAGTAAATTTTCTAACAAATTTGTTATTATTTTCATTATTTTTTTTCAAATAATGTTTTCCTAATTCTTTGATTTTGAATTAAGTTTTTGTGTAAATAAAAAATTTGTGATACAAGATTACTAAAATTAAAAATCACACCTGTACTTGTTTTTCATGACATTGATATGGGTGGCATTCAAAAACCCAAAAATTTAATTTAAATAATAAATAAATAATAAATAAATAAGAAAACTAAACATCAATCCTTTTTTTTAAATTTTTCTATTCAACCATGGATTACCCTGAAGAAGAGTATAATAGTGTTGTTTGGGACACAGGAGCTTTGAAACCTGATGAATTGTCAGAGGAAGAGGATAATGTAGCAACAATGACAACCGGAACAACAACAGAGACACCATTTGTAACAACAGACCTTAGCGAGTCAATATCAAGTAACATAGACGAAAACATGTTTTCGGTTTCGGTTAGTTCTTTTATTTTAAATAATTTTCCATTCTATACATATTGTTGTGTTCATATATGTAAATTGTATTTGTGAGTTTAATATTTAATGAAATAAATAATAAACCAATGATTAATTAATCAATCGATTAATTATATAATAGACACTTGCCCCCTCACCCATTAATAATTCCTTTCAATCAGGATTTATTAATCAGAACAATTCCTTTCAATCAGAATTTATTAATCAAACCAATTCAACACAGTCATTATCACCCAATATCAATATCCCAATTGCTTTTCCTATGACTATTACAGTAACAGATCCAAAAAAGGAGCTTGATGGTACTAAAGATGCGTTCATGTTGTATACAATAACTACAAAGGTAGCAATTTTATTTTCTTGATTAAAGAGAAAATTCTGTATATTCAAACGCGTTTTGGTTTGGAAAATCAACAAGATTAAACAACGGAAAAAAGGTTATTTATACACGCTAGAAACCTTGAATTAAACACGTTTGAATATACAAATTATATTTATTATCTTCAGGCATTTGTGACGGATAAAAATGACCATATTTTTTATTAGACCACTTTAGAAACTTTTACTGCATCTACAGTGAATATAAAACGAAGGTTTCAAGATTTTGTATTGTTGCATACATTTTTAAGTAACGATTTTCATGCCTGCGTAGTCCCTCCTTTGCCAGATAAACATAGAATGGGTAATGAATTTTTAAAATTTAAATAGTATTTTATTATTCATCGATTATTAACGCTATCAATGTGTACAATTAGAATATATTACTGGTGATCGTTTTTCGGATGAATTTGTTGAAAAACGTCGTGCAAGGTTTATATTTTTTATAATTCTAAATTATATTTATTTAATATAGATTTAACATCAATAACTTATTTTATTATTATTATTATTATTATTATTATTATTAAACAGTCTTCAAAGATTTTTGGAAAGATTAGCTAGACATCCAGTATTACAAAAAAGCGAATATCTTAGAATATTTCTGGAATCAAGAGAATGGGTATATGACATATGTATATGCATATATATATGATAAATTTTTATGAAGATATTAATAACCGTTTTTTTTTTCCCAATATTGAATGATGACTATGATGAATAGAATGCTGAATCTTTGTCCATACAAAAGAAAGCAGCCGGTGATGGTATTTTGGAACATTTAGGAGATGCTTTAATTAATGCATTTTCAAGAATGAAAAAACCAGATGAAAGGTTTGAAGAATTAAAAGAAAATATAGATAAACTTGAAGAAAATTTACAAACAGTTGAGAGATTATATCAAAAGATTATTAAAAGACAAACGGGTAATTTATTATTATATAATATTATAATACATTATAATATATAATATATATAAAATTATATTTATAGATCTGGAAGCTGACTATAGAGAATTTGGTAGTACCGTTTCTGGGTTGGGACAATTAGAAACAGGATTGACATCTCATTTAGAAAATTTTGGTGAAACTTCATCCAAGTTTGCTGACGCTTGGAAAGAATTGGTTTGTAAAGATTTAAATGAATTATAATAATAGCATTAAAATCGATTGATCGATCGATTTATTTAATGTTATACTTACATTAATACATATATTGATACATATATTAGACAACAAAAGAAGAAAATGAATTTATGATTCAGATAAGAGATTTTCTTAATTATTGTCATTGTGTTAAGGTAAAGATGTTCATACATAATGTACAAAATATTACTATAAATACTATACATTATTAATATATATATTGGTAATAATTTATTCCGAATAAATGAATTATTTAATTAAAAAAAAGAATGTGTTGAAATTACGAGATCAAAAACAAGTTGATTTTGAAGCACTTTCAGAATACCTTCAAAATGCAAAATTGGAACTTGATAGTTTTGTGACTACTGGTAAAGTATCTACAAGTATTTCATCGTATATGCGAGAAAGAATTGATAATTTTAAAGGTGTTGATCAAGGTGATAAACGAGAAAGATTGAAAACAAAAATTGCTGAGGTTTGATATTTTATATATTTCGAGAAATTTTTTTTATATAGTTATATTTATATTTAGATAACAATATTGATAATATTGTTTAGTTGGAGAAAGAAGTTGAAAATAGTAATGATGAATCTAATAAATTTTCAAATCAAGTGATTAAAGAATATGAAGTGTTTCAACATGCAAAAATTATTGAATTTAAAAATTATTTACTTTCATATACACAAAATCATGTTGATTTTTATCGTAAGGTAAATAATTATAAAATATTATTAAAGGTTTATACATTTATTTATTTATTTATTTATTTATCTATTGATTTAGAGTATTATTCTATGGGAGGAAATTATTCCAATTTTGGAAGACATTGAAATTGAAATATGAAATATAAAGTGTCATACATTTTTTTGTCATTATTATTATTTGTAAATTAGATGTTGTTTGCGAATTTTCGCGTCTTTTTAATATTTCTTTTTTTTGCTGTTATTAAATTTTAAATGAATTATTATTATAAATATTTTTAATCAATTAATCATCGTTATTATTGTATTTGATATTTTTGATATTTATAACAAAAAAATTTTGCGTTACATGAAATAAATGTAATATTATATACAAACACCTGTTAGCCCCAAGTCAATCTTTTAGTTTCCGAATCAACTTTCCTTTTTGCATTTTGCATATCACTCCCAGCTGTTTGTTCCAACATTTTCATTTTATTAGAATCTACTATCAATATTTTCATAACTGACCTTCCCTTGAATTTTGTTTCGTATCCTGAACTACTAGTGCGTATATCTGTAACTGTGATTGAGCCTTGACATGTCCATACAATAGTATCACCATAATAACTATGTTTATCGTGAGCTTCCAAATAAATAGTATCACTTTGTTCGCCTGTTGATACAAAAGGCCAACGTGATTATCTATCATAATGATCACTCCATATAGTTTGTGCCATTTCCTTCTAGCACTTTCTAATCTTACATCGTCGTTAATACTAGTAAGATACTTGTAAATTTTCTTTCCATAATCCGACCAAGTTTTATAATTAACATCGCCGGAATTAAAAACCGAGAGTCCTCGATTCGTTTTGAGTGTTATTAAAGCTCCTTTTGCTTTAAGAACGGCAACTGTGCCTTCTGCGTTATGGTTAAGCAGTTCTTCAATTTTCGGGTATTTTTTTATTTATTTCAGATACTATTCCTGACGAACGAACGAGTCCCATTGGATTGCCACTCATTTTAAAATTTTATTTCTTAAAAATTGCTATGTTAATTACGAGGGAAAATATGATTCTTGGAACAGTAATAGATTATTGATTAACAAGAGTAGTTCCCATCGATGTTGTTATGCAATGAAATTCGGAATCTGGAATTATGTGTTCCATTGTTCCGGTGTTCCAGTCTTTTTCACTGGAATACAAGGTTACGGGTAAAACCTCGCAATTGATAACTTTCTTCAATTCATTTATAAAGGTTCCAAATGATTTTTTACTTTCGTCTTTAACCTTATCACCACTAATAAATGGCGTCGTTCCCTCTAATTGATCATAAATTTGTCTTAGCAATCCTTCAACCGTTGTAAATCTACCACCTAAAGTACCAGACAACAACTCCAATTCTATTTCGGGTATTGATAATCCACACGTTTCTGATTTTAATATTTCTCTTGACATATCCTCTAGATCTAATATTTTTAACTTGATTCTTTTTCCCTTTTCTGATATCATACTTCCTGATTTTACCTCATTTGATTTATACACGCATGACTACATGCATACAATCATATATGTGCGTTAGCAATTTGAAAAAGATATGAATATTTATATAAATATGTTAACTTACATCGCAAACAGTTGACATAATTATCGCATCTTTAAAATGTGGTATATTTACTAAATGCAATCTAGTGTCGCATTGTAAATTACAATTTGAACAATTTGCAGGAAATACCATCACATCATTGCCAACTTCTTCCTTTTCTCATCTTCGTCTTTATGGTTATTTGATTCGGGATCTTTCAATTCGTCTGGAGCAACTATACCCAATTTAATATCCATTTCATGAGTTCTATTATAATAACGAA